CAGGAGGCTTTGAGGCTAGCCTGAACTACATAGTAATTATAGGCCAACCTGGGCTATTGTGAGACTCTGCCTTAAAAACATAAAATAAAATAAATAATTGGAGATCAAACTCAGGATAGCTAAAACATTTGATTAATATGAACTCTGACTATGGGAAAACAGGAAATTTTGATATGATTTCAAGTCAAGGCATATATTTCATAAGTATATTTGATATAGTGGCTAATAAATTTTTAATTTAACATGCATTTATTATCAATAATCTCTAAAATTTGGCATTGAGACCAGCCATGAAAAGCTGGCAATTGAAGGCAATATTGTGTTTGCATTTTTGCCCTGATTTTTGTGTTGTCAAACTCGCTTAATGATGTCAACTTTTGTTGGAATTTATGTGTAAAACACAGACTGAATAACAAATTCATAGTAAATGGGAAAGGACAAGAAATTGCTAGGGACCAGAACTGAAATGATAAATGCTGATTGTCTTGGTGATGTTGGAATTGCTTTGGAAACTGAAAGCATGGGTTATCAGATAACCACTAATTTCAGTAAAGCACAACTGATTGAGTGTTTTTGTCACCATGGCTATTACTCAGGGTTCTCAGGAGGAGCAGGACTTATAGAACATTTATTAGAATGACGTGTAGACTGTGGTCCAGCTAGTCCAATATGATTGCCCACCAATGAAGACTCCTAGAATCCAGTAGTTGTTAAATCTATCTCAGTTTGGCCGTTAGTATACACTAGAATCCTAAAGAAGTCGATGCTAACACCAGGGAATGAATGGACTTGCAGTGAGAGCAAGAGCAAGCAGGCAAAGAGAGTAAGCTTCCTTCTTCCATATCCTTTATGTAGGCTGCCACCAGAAGGTGTGTCCTAAATTAAAGGTGGCTCTTCCCACCTTAAAAGATCTTGAGTAAAGGTATAGAGCACCACCTCAAAAGATGCAGATTAAAATTGGGTCTTCCTACCTTAAAGAATTTAATTTAGAAAAAATCTCCTACAGGTGTAACCAATTGATGAAAATTTAAGTATAATTCCAGATGTAGTCAAGTTGACAACCAAGAACAGTCATCGCACCATGTAACTTAACTATCTTGTATATCTTGTTATATATAAAAGCCATCTCTACTATGTTTAAGATAACAAGAGAAGCTATTAAACTAAATCACACACCACAGAAAAAGAAAGTATTTTGAGTATAATTTAATTTTTCTTATTTTAATACTAATTTTGACTAAAGAAACACTTTAATTTCATATTTCTTTTTTCCTTTTTTTGAATTTTTTGAGGTAGGGTTTCTCTGTGTAACAGCTAACACAAGAATTCTATTGGTGAAAGCTTCTGTGTTCTTAATAGTTATATTAAAATTACACGTCTCAAGCAGGGGATTGCATACTGCATAGACAAACATCATAAATAAACTTCTAGAATAAAGTATATTTGAAAGCATCAGTAGAAATATTGGGGCATAGTGGTACTCAGACAAAGAAAATATAGTCTGGGGTATATATTTGTCACAGAATTAAGCAAGAGAGAAAATCTATTTTATCAAGCAAAACACGAAAATAAAAAAAGTAATAGCCCACCTGCCCGGCAACGTCTCCTCCAGCAGAATGGTTTTCGGCTCCCACATCGGTCACTGGGTAGGGTGTAAGACTGGGGCTGAAGGCCATGAGGTCAGTCTTGGGCAGACCCTCTCCAGAGCACACCCTTTGCTGTCTCTGCTGAGAGTACGACCAGGTCCCCACCGCGCTGGAGCACACCAGCACCGGCTTTCCAAG